AGATGAGCTTCCCTGAGACGGTTTCTGACCGTTTGTGCAGAAATTCTTTGGTTATGCAAACTGATTGTTGCAGCAGCTGTCCGGGTGGCTGGTCTTGGAGGTGAAGATGCTGGATGTGTAGGTCCTGGGCTGGTGTGGTTACACGTGGTCTGAGGTTGTGAGGCTGGTTGGATGTACTGCCAAATTCTCTGAAACACCTTTGGAGACTTGGCTTATGGTAGAGAAATGAACATTCAATTCACGGGCAACAGCTCTGGTGGACATTCCTGCAGTCAGCATGCCAATTGCACGCTCCCTCAAAACTTGCGACATCTGTGGCATTGTGCTGTGTGATAAAACTGCACATTTTAGAGTGGCCTTTTATTGTGGCCAGCCTAAGGCACACCTGTGCAATAATCATGCTGTCTAATCAGCATCTTGATATGCCACACCTGTGAGGTGGATGGATTATCTCGGCAAAGGAGAAGTGCTCACTAACACAGATTTAGACAGATTTGTGAACAATATTTGAGAGAAATGGGCCTTTTGTGTACATAGAAAAAGTCTTAGATCTTTGAGTTCAGCTCATGAAAAATGGGGGCAAAAACAAAAGTGTTGCGTTTATATTTTTGTTCAGTGTATTTCGCAGTAATGTACTTTATAGGGAGATTCTTCACCAACGGGCTGATCTCTTTCAGGAAGGACATTGTTGTTTAACAGTGTTATAATCTTGAATTGTGAGCATTTTCCATGTTGTCTATAATTCACACATTCAACTTTCCTCCTCCATCTGATGGCTTCTATCCCTGGACCAATTGAATTCAAGATCTTCAGTTATTCCTTATGCGTTTAGTTATTAAACCTGAATCTTTGGTCCTGTATGGAACTTTTGCTAATAGGAGCAAAGTCCCAAGAGTGGGTCAGGCTCCTTTAGACATTAACAAAAAGTAATTTTGGGATAAATGGATAAATTCACCGAGCTCCTCAGAACAACATATTTTTCAGCAATGTTTGTAAATGCAGCTTGCGTGGCTAGTGCTTGATTTAATACACCAGTGGCAACGAGTCTGACTGAAACACCTGAATTCAATAATCAAGAGGTGTGTCCCAAATACTTTTGTCCATATGGTGTAATAAATATAAGCCTAATAGTAAGTTAACAAATCATTTTAAATAAGACTTCTCTGAAGTGGTCGGTGGCTGAATACAAACCAAATCATTTTGATACTCAAATGCCTCTTTACAGCACGACTGAGGTGGATCTAATGCTTGTCTAGATTCTGGAGTCTGTGTTTCTCAAAAGTCACACATTAGACCACTGAACTATTAAAACACACATTTACTCTCTGATCACTGAAGCTCAAATGAACTCAGACAATCATTTCTCTACTGTACTTCTATTGTAAGCTATATGCTTCAGGTGTTTTTTGCACCAATGATATCAATCTGTAATCCACACTGCATATATAAACCTTGGCATTTTAATTTCGACATTTACCACGTTTAAATTAAATTCACATACTGCTCTCTGCATGTTTACTTCACACAAGCTTTGAAAAGTTAATGGCTCATCTGAAATCGGTGTATAAGTTAAAAACTATATACAAATTATGCAATGGCCACATTTATCAGCCTTAAATCTAACTCGGATGAAACTAAAACCGTGTTTCTTATATTCACACATTTACAGAAAGCTAAAGGACTGTGCAGTAGCTGAAGAAATTCAGATGCAATAGTTTCAATTCATGTCAGTTAACTCTCAAGCCATTAACCTTTTTGATAACAAATTGTGAATATACAACACAATAGAGGCTGCGTTTTTATTACTAAACAATAAAATCTCTCACATTTCCAGAGGCTAAAGATTACTCTTAAACTTCTCGGTTCATTATGTTTATTCACGGCAAAGCCAGGTAGACTTTAAACACAATCATTTACAACACACACGTATTCAGTGCAATTATAATTACATTAAAAGCAACAGATTGTTCATTAAATAACAAAAATAAAACAAACTCACTCAATAACCCTGTGTCTGAATGTAGTTTGTTCCAAATATGAACAAAGTCTTTAATGAGAATTCCTAGTCAATTAGATAAGGAATAATTAACTCACATAACATGCATTTATGCAAGTTTCATTCAGTTGTTTTTCACACAATGTACTGGCCTCGTCACATAATTATATACAATCACATTTACCTTAAAACTTAAGCTCCTAAAATAGAGCTTGATGAACATAAATTAGCATAAGTGAACGGACATGAACGCTGATTTGCACTTGAAACGCTGCATGTTTAATATTTCACACAGTGTTGTTTTCTTATTCGGATTACACATATAATCTATCAGCTATAATGTCCTATTTGAAACACAAACTCGTGTGCAACCTGCAATTTGTCCTAAATAGACTGAGTTTGTACCATCTAGAGCCACAGATGATTAGGTTCCTGCTTTGTTTTTGTTCGCTCATAAAATGAACCAAGATAACTTCTGATGCCTAATACTGTTCAACAGTTACATTTAAGGACTCGTGACATCGCATTTTTCCTCGATCCTGCAAGTTTCATAGCTCAAAACGTCCTCCTCATAAACAAGGAATTTATTAATTAAGCTCAAAAGCAAATCCATGTCACAACTCCTTTAAGGAGAACCAAGCAACAAACCAGTTACTATTAACTGCACTGCAAACCAACAGAGATGAACCCACCGGTGAAATATGCCGCGTAGTCGCTATGAGAGTTTGAAGCTTTGTATGCAAGTCAACTCTTATTAAAACTGTTAGCTAATAGTAGTTTAGTTCTTCACATGTCGTTTGAATGCGAGATAATCTTAGGGGTTTTGTCTCTGTCTGTGTGTATTTACAGCACAGTTTCACTGGTTCGATCTTCTTGCTTTTTCCTGAAACAGAAACAGAATAATCATCAGCACACAGAGTGTTCATCACAGTGAACAGGTGTAGGTGTGAGTGAATCACCTGTTGAACGCTGCTGTGATTGGGAGGATTGGGTCGATCTGTGCTGCAGATTTCACAGCCGGGTCTCGTAGGCTTATTTATGAATGTACAGGAAGAACAGGACCAGCCTGACTAAAGAGAGAGATGAAAATACTCTATTTACATAATCCAACAATCTGCTTTTGTTACTTGCATTAAACTGGTAGACAGATCTATATGAGGGGATACACATTTATACAAATATACCCTGTAATGGTGTTTGTATGCAATCTTTTCCATTTGTGATCTCTCTTTTTTTTTTTTAAAGGTTTCATAATATTTAACGCGGTGTAATGGTGTTTGTATGCAATCTTTTCCATTTGTGATCTCTCTTTTTTTTTTTAAAGGTTTCATAATATTTAAAGCGGTCTCTGGGAGTGTGTGGTTCATGATTATGTGGATGCAGGCCGATTATTTACAATCCGTCTGCACTTGCTAGTTTCCAGAAATGGAAAATGTGAATGTATGTAATTATTACCTGTGTGTTACTTGATTTCAGTTTGGATCCAAGTTGCAACATCTCGAGGTTAATGATGTCACTGACACTGGGTTTCTCTGGGCCACACCCACTGCTGCCTATTGACCAATCAGAAACACACACTGAAGCGAGCAGTGATAATGACAGTGAAAACAGCAAGAAGAACTGGAACATTCATACACTACCGTTCAGAAGTTTGAGACCGTATAATTGATACTTTTATTCAGCAAGGATACATTAAAGTGATCAAAAGTGACAGTAAAGTCATTTATAATGGTACAAAAGATTTCTATTTCGAATAAATGCTGTTCTTTCTATTTAATAAAATCACGGTTTCCACAAAAATATTGAGCAGCATGACTGTTTTCAACGTTGATAATCAGAAATGTTTCTTGAGCAGCAAATCAGCATATTGGAATGATTTCTGAAGATCATGTGACACTGAAGACTGGAGGAATGATGCTGAAAATACAGCTGCGCATCACAGAAATAAATTACAGTTTATATTCATATAAAAAACGGCTATTTTGAGTTACAATATTTCACAATTTTTACTGAATTTTAGATAAAATAAATGCAGCCTTGATGAGCAGAAGAGACTTCTTTCTTACAAACCTGTGCAGTTTGTCAGTAATACACCAGGAAAGCGCTTAAATTATTCCACTGTCATAAGGGGAAAAAAAATAATGTTGCATATTTTTTCTATAGTCAAACCAAAAATTATTTAGACACCAGATATAATGTTAGATATTTTTTTTACTAGTGGGTGCATAGTTTAGTCATGTAAGTGAGGATAGCAAAATTAAGTAAACTGTGACATATTACACCCAAATTAAAAATACACCACAGACGGAACAAAATCAAGCATTGCTTGGTAATTGGTTGAGCTAAATTGGTATTATTTAATTGTGTGCTTAAATTTAACAGCTGACAGCTATTCAACCGAATCCATTACATACCTTTCTATCAAAGTTATCAAGATGAATTTGTTCCGACACAGTTTGACTGAGTTCTTGTCATTTTATTACCATTTTCTAAACTAAAATCTGAAAATCTGGAATCTGAGGGTGCAAAAAAATCTAAATACTGAGAATGAGTGAAGTGAGCAGACCTGTGCTGCTGTGGCTGAAGCGGGGCGGTAAAGTGCTGTATCGTCTCCAGTCGTGGCTGACGGGGCCGCTGGCGTTTGGCATCGACAGACCGTTCTCCTGCTGCTGCTGGCGACCGAGGCAGGCGTGACGAGCAGACAAGAGGTAGAGAAACGCAGTGTCGCCGTCCCTGTAGATGCCATACGACGCTAAAGAGCGGCCGTCAGAGCACAGACACTGAGCGATGACCCAGCGCTGCACCCTGGGGTGGAAACCATACTCAACAAACATCTGCAAGAGACAAACGCACCACCAGATCAATCCAACACATCAGATCTGACTTCAAGATGCGTTTCGACCTTTCCTACCTGCTGCTTCAGAGAAGCGACGGTCACGTGAGGGTGGACTTTTACTGTGACACAGCAGGAAGATGACGTGTCTTCTATTACCACAGCTAAGCTGAAGAAGAAAAATCACATCTGTAAACATGCGTCACCATCAGGATTTTAAGTTATATAAATGTATCTATATGTATAGTGGTTTCATGTTGCTTTATTAGATTTCAACAGGAAAGTCATTAACACATTCATACAAATGAAAAAGTTTAAGAAATATGTGAAGTCGCTATAAGTGAATGTTGAATCATTCGTTCAAGTGAATCATTGAGAAATGCTGATTCATCCAGTAATGAAACAAGTGAAGTTTTTATGAGTGAGTCATTGAATCATGCAGTCAAGAGATTCATTAAAAAGTGCTGATTCATCCAGTAATGAAGCAAGTGCAGTCTTTGTGAATGAGTCACAGAATCAGTCTTTCAAGAGACTGGTTCAAAAACACTGATTTGTCCTGTTAATGAAACATGTGGAGTCTTTACAAGTGAGTCACAAAATCATTCTTTCAAGAGATTCATTCAAAAATGCAGATTCGTCCACTAATGAAGCACGTGGAGTCTTTACGAGTGAGTTACAGAATCATTCTTTAAAGAGATTCATTCAAAAACGCAATTCAACCACTAATGAAACAAGTGAAGTCTTTATGAGTGAGTCACTGAATCATGCAGTCAAGAGATTCATTCAAAAATGCTGATTCGTCCCGTAATGAAACAACTGAAATCTTTATGAGTGAGTCTCTGGCTCATTCTTTCAAGAGATTAATTAAAGTGCTGATTCATCCAGTAATGAAGCAAGTTATAAGTGAGTCATTGAATCATTAATTCAAACCAGCTTTTAAAAAAATTAATTCAGAAGTTACTTAGACATTTCAAAATAGACTGCAGCAATTAACATTTTGCCAGAACTTACTCTAGTAAGTTTTTTTGTCTATTCAGAACTGTAGGAGAATCGTGATCTGTATATCAAACAAAAAAATCGTGACTCAAGTTTCTCCAGAATCATGCAGCTCTAGATAAGACTATGTGAATCACCCACAGACAAAAGACATATCTACTATAATCGGAGCATGACGAGGCACACAGACCTGATCTCTGTGTCGTCGGTGTCTCGCAGCGCTGGTTGAATGCTCAGTGCGATCTGCTGCTTGGCCAGATCTGTGGCGTAGTGCACAGCGGCATGAGTATCTCCAGCCTCGATCGCTCGAGAAAGCTCTAGACACAGCTCCTCTATAGCAGACCAGACGAGAAGAGAAGCACAGTCACACAACGCTTACAAGATCAACTCCATTCAATAGGAACAAGATTTGTATTTAAGATCGACTGATATTGATACAGATTATTTGAATTTGCAGAACCAATATTTATTTCATGTTTTACTTGTTTGTTACATTTCATCTTCATATCACAACAATAAAAACATTTTTTAACATCAGCAGCAACAATATTAAAACAACAGACTTAACAAATCTGCTAGCCTATACATTATAAATATTAGTAATGACTAATAATTGCATTATCTATCATAAATGGTTAAAGAGTATGGGGCCAGTTTAATATCACTGCAAACAGCTTTCTGTAAACCGTCACTTCAATAAGTGCCACAAAAGTTTATTTTGTGACTACAACAATGGTGGAACTAGATGAATGATCAATAAAGAAATTAGAAAACATTAGAAAAGAAACCTTTCATAGACAGCGACAAGACAGAGTTTTTCTCTCCACACTTCACATTCTGCAGTCCTTCATTTGAAGAATGAGAAATGTTGGCAACTGAAACAAAAAGAGAGCGAACAGTGAACAATCATAAAGGCTAAGCATATCTGACGTGATAAAAACCAGTCACTAAGACGCTGAACGCGGCTGCTCGATGCAGTGCACCGAACGACAGTCGCATCACAGATCAGATTTCATTTATCTGAATATGAAGCTGACAAGACGATGGCAGAAGAGTTTCAAAACCACATGCAAAAGCACCGGTTTTAAAAATATTTTGGATTTTGAAAAGCCTGTTGTCTTCTGCCATTTATGGAAGTTTTTTTTAAACATTAGTTTCTTATTTATTTGGTTCCACAGCATTTACTGATCTTCAGTTTTGTATACCTAAACCTTGTGCAAGATATTTGTTATTATAAAACGGAGAGTTCCGGTCCTTGATTCTGATTGGCTGAGCCGTGTTCGAAGCTGCTGTAAATGACTCTACAAAGTAACATACACCTTTGTTTACGTTTGTCTGTTGCTCGGCAACCACTTTGTAGCAACCACAACTGTTTCTGAGGAGCTACATTGTTTGGTGGAAGAATACTGTTTTTATTAATATCATTACACTTTATTTCCTCTGTTTTATTTTGTGAAACCTTACTATGTATATGGAATAACCGTTTTATAAAAGCAATAAGCCCCGTGAAGCCATGGTTTACAGTGAATTTATAACAGCTAAGGGGGTTTCTACGCTTCGCGTCGTGCCTAAAAACGCCCCCTAGCTGTTATAAATTCACTGTAAACCACGGCTTCACGGGGCTCGGGGCTTATTTTTATATTAGGCATATAGCATGGCGTATTTTTATTTAATTTGTTAATAAAAGTTCTATGTTCTACGTTGCATTTAGTTGTTGCTTGAATTGAATTCAAGCAATTGACGCTGAATCGCCAGCTAATTTGAAAGTGGAAGTAAAATGTGCACGGCACTTTTACAAGCCATTTATAAGCGACCCTAATTCAGAGGCCTTAGAAACTGGCGTATCACATATGACAGAGTAGGGTTAATGACCTCTGACCTCTGTGAGACTCTCTGAGCGATGACATCATGACGGTGGCCCACTCCTGCGCCTCCTGCTCGCTGCGGAAGGTGAATGTGAGGCAGTCGTTGGGACGCTTGACGAGACGCATTTCGTGACATCGAGCTGATTTGATCTCGTACTTCACTGAGCGCAGATCAAACTCTGCCAGAGACTGAGAGAGAGAACAGATCATCATAAACCCTTCAGCTTGCTGTTAGACTGCTGTCACTGGGGCAGTAGCTTTTGTACCTTATTTACAGTGTTGGGAAGGAAATGTAACAGGTTACAGATTACAAGTTACCCTACTTAAAATGTAACAAGTAGTGTAACAACTTCAATGATTACTTCTCTAAATTTCTAATAATGTTTTCAACTGTTAATCATTTTCAAACACATAAAGCAGGCAGGGTTAACCTTACAATAATGCTCAACACTGAATACTGTCAGACTTACAGAATGCTTCATCACTTGAATTAAGATTATAATAATTTAATTTTAAAGCGCAGACACCACAAAATCAGACTTTAGCACCTCTTTTTACTTTGAGATCATTCCGAGGTAAAAAAAAAAAAACATGTTTAAAATCATGAAAAAATCATGATGCCGTTTTTGAAATCAACTCTTTGCAGCTATGACAGTAGACACTGGCATCTAACAATGCCATGGAGAAAACCCAAATAGGAAATAAAAGAGTTATCGAATAAGCATGTGTCCTGAAACATTGCGGTCTCGAATTTTAGAGCATTCGATGCAATTTAACTGATACACTGTAATAAATACTGTAGTATACTTTAGTTTTTACTATGGTAATCTGTAGTGTATTGTAGTATAATATACCCCATAGTTGTAGAAAACTTCGTACAGTATTGGGTAAAGTAATTTGTTTATATTACTATAGTTGTTATATTACCACAGCAACTATAGAATTACCACAACAAATTAATTCAAGTACTTTACTATTGTATGGTTTAAAAAAACTATAGTATTTACTATAAATTACTACAGTATTTTTTCATGTGGTATAGACTGACAGATATACAAACAGCACTGATCTGATGATATGAAAGTGAGGATAGTGAGTGACAGCAGCCTCTGTGTGTGTGTGTGTGTGTGAGTGTGTGTGTGTGTGTGTGAGTGAGTGTGTGTGTGTATGGTGTGAGTGTCTCTCTCTCTCTGTGTGTGTGTGAGTGAGTGTGTGTGTGTATGGCGTGTGTGTGTGAGAGCGTGTATGGTGTGAGTGTCTCTCTCTCTCTGTGTGTGTGTGTGAGTGTCTGTCTGTATGGTGTGTCTCTCTCTCTGTCTGTCTGTGTGTGTGTGTCTCTCTCTCTCTCTGTGTGTGTGTGTGTCTCTCTCTCTCTGTGTGTGTGTGTGAGTGTCTGTCTGTGTGTGTGTGTCTCTCTCTCTCTGTCTGTCTGTATGGTGTGTCTGTCTCTCTCTCTGTGTGTGTGTGTGTGTCTCTCTCTCTCTGTGTGTGTCTCTCCCTCTCTCTGTGTGTCTCTGTGTGTGTGTGTGTGTGTGTCTCTCTCTCTCTCTGTGTGTGTGTC